TTACTGAAGTAACTATTAACTGCGATATTATTTGCCAAGGACGCAAAAAAATGTTTGGTTGAAATACATTCGTTTAATACCTCATTTACCACATCCTTAGCGATGTTTTTTGACTCAATTTTTTATCGCTCAGTAAAAACCATTGTCCGTAAGCGCTCGATGTAGGTTTTAATAAGAACTAATTACTTATTGGGTTAACTAATTGAGGCGTAATTTCTAAAATTTGTTACTAGATCGCTTGCAATTCACACCACTAAAAATGGAACATTTTACCGGAGCGCGAGACACACGTCTACTCAGCATGAGTGATCGACAATAACCATCTGAAAGTTGTAAAAAATAAAGTAGCTATGCGTTCACTCTAAATCATTATTAAAATGTGGTGATTGTCAATGCCGCCGAGAGTGGATGGTCGAACGACAGGTAGCTGACCTATCTAGGTTTTAGTTAGATAGAGCACGAAATTGTAAATTTACATTGCCAGGGATCATTAAACAGGGTGCACAACAAAGTTCAGATAAATTGTCATGAGAGTTTCCGATAAATTCCCTATTTCTGTTTTTAAGCCCTACAAACCTAAAATCGTTCGTAAATTCCAGTCACGCTTTTGGTGAATGAAAGTAATGTGACACTGGCGTGGCGTAACAGTTTATTACAATAGTAATTGCATAATCGGAGTTTTATTTTGCTCCCTAAATGCCGTCACTGTCTTCATGCCATTTATTAACAGCTCATAATTTAATATTTTTCTTCTTTTTTTATTAATAATTACATTCGAACCACACGGCAAGGTGCGCAACTATTCAGCGATCGATGGTACCACCCCATAAGATACATTGGTTACCTGTAGGGTTGAGCCATACATTGACTATCAATTTTATTCGCAGTATCGATACCTCGACTGAGAGAATTTTCAGTACCTACTAGCTTCCTTAAAATTATATGTAGAAAATCTTGACGATTGCTAGCCAGATATATCAATTTATTATAAAATTTTCCAGTTACATACAGTCTGCAAGCAACAGGTTAGTAATTTGGTGGAAGTTTTACCTATTTTAGGGATTTGGAACCTGTATGCTGCTTTTAATTTGGTAGTAGTGCCTTAGCTTGCATTTTGGGTTTTGGGTTTGCTTTCGTTTCGGCACTACAACCTCCCGTAAGGGGATATTCAGCCCGACAATGGTAACTTTTTTTCCTTTCCTCCATTTTGTTCAGAGCACGCCTCAATTCGATACCTTTGGCATTTATTTCTGTTACTTGCGTATGTTAGATTGAAGTCAAATAATTCCTCTTCGTTAAGTCACCAAACATCGGACCGGTTTCTCGATTAATTGGATGTAGGTTCCGCAATCCTAACGTCCAAGACGAGTGGAAAATCAGAACCCGTGTAACGGTAATCTATTTCTGTTTTCCTTCACTATATGTATCTATCTAATTTTCGGGTTTTGTAAATAACTCATGTCTGATCTATCTTTATTAAGAACATATATATAATAGTATTTCTTAACTAAGGGTTCTTCTCTATATCGCGAGACAGATCAGTATGAATTCGTAGACATACGTAACCGACCCGTCGTGGACCGAGACTCCTCTGGACACTCGAGTATTTTTTCCCGGGGTCGTCTCGTCCGAGTTATTACATCAGCAGTTACATCAGCAGGCTGCCAACCAGGTTTGATCGTTGCGCAACTGTCACCGTCGTTGAGATTCCTTTATTTTTGTTATTAATATTGAAATTTAGTAATGATATTAATTTTTTTCCCTCTCTTTCGGTCTTAATGTTAAGGTACATGACCAACAATTTAATAATTGGAAAATAATATAATGCACCCCCACTTTGACTCTGTCTAGGTAAGATTTATCCTGTCCTGCATGACTGATCTCTTTCTAAAAAGTAATTTTAGATTATTTTTTTCTGAGGAAGGTCACTTGTGGACCGAAATGTCAAATAAAAAATGTAGTAGTCCAATTTTGCCAGTTCCATAACCAGAACTGCAACCCAAGAAAACTAACATCTTATCTTTTTTTTCACTTTTTTAGTAGAGAGTACAGTAAGTAGGGTCCAGGCGTGTAACGGAAACCCAATACCACACAGGGGGAATTCTGATACGTTCCGTCACAAACCAGTGGCGCCCAATAACCTACCCCTACTCTCCGGTTAACTTAATTTACTTTTGTTGTCGTCGAGCTAGGGCACAAATTTGCACACACCTAGACATCCGTTACGATCTGCTCGCTGCTTTACTGAGTGTTCCTTGTATACATTCTTTTTTTTTTATATTATTCCAATTTTCTAATTTAAATTTTCAAAAAAAAAACGCGGCATCGTTTTTAAATTTAATTTGTGTAATTTTTAACACGTTGTTTGGCAAACTGCATTGTTCCCAATATTTCAACCACAGGAGGAACAGAGAGAAAGAAAACTTTAATATATAATTTTAACTTTTTTTTATCTTAAAGACCATCAGAAGGGCTGAGATAGGGTCTATATAAATTAGCTCGCATTGTCGACAGATTTCAACCTTGTTAGCAAAACTTGTGTTTACTTAGTTTGCCAAAAGAAAACAATCGAGCATTTACAAAATTTTTCTTCCGATGTGAATATATCATATACATACCTTTTTCATTTCAGTATGATGATACGAATTGTAGCCAACTATGTATATAATCTTTTGAATGACTATGTCAAACTTATTGAAAGCAGTCGTCAGGCAGATGTCTAGATACTGCATACTATACTTTTCCTACGACCATTACTTTTTGGGTACATTTTCGCAAAAAAAACACGAATATATTCAGTGAAATCACTGTCATAATTTACACACGTCAAAATTCAAGGCGTGAGAAATATCTTGGAAAACATCGGATTGCTCCCAAACCCGTGCAGTAAAATCGGTGACTCGGATCCGTGGGAAACGAAACTGACCTGGTAAAGTGGCGCTTGCGGACCACTAAATCCGTGTGTAATATTTTTTTCTTCTATTTTTAATGCCTTAGCAATGGTGGTAATTCATGAAAAAAATTATGTAGATTTGATGCTGGATGGAATTTGTCAAAGGAAATGCAGCATTTAGAAAATGTCAATAAATACGCGTTTATAAATCCATACCGGATGACCGGTTTATTATGAAATGTCACCTTATCTCAGAACGTTTACCTTATATTCAAAAACTTAAAGACAGAGAGATTTCCTTATACATTTCAAATATTGTGTTTTTATATTTACATATTATTTGTATTTTCAATTAACAACTTCCTAATTTTTAATGGTACATTCTGAATATGCATTCTTATATTTCTCGGAACTTTCTTGGCATATTTTATATATAAAATTCAATTCCCATATACATATTATCGTTTTTGAGAAATTTTGAAATTTGTGTCAAAAAAGATCTAAGCATATCTATCGATTTCTCCTAGTGAAAGCTTTTTTTATATTGAGGGTTATAGAATGAATACTCTAGGTTGATGTTTTGAAAATAGATAAAGACGTGATCAATAACGAAAAAAACATTCACTTATTTTTTTAAACTTTTTAAACTTTCTATAATGTTGAATATTTCAAAAAGTTGTGGATTACGAAATATTGGCAATAAAACGATTTTTCCATTGTAGATATCCTATGCCGTTGTTATATTTTTGATGACATTCTTTTATAATGCTTGAATGTTTTATGGGAGTTAACTTAGATTTTATTGTTATTGTCGTTACTATAAAACGTTTACAGAATCAAATATAAAAGTAATATATTGTTCATTTAAAAATTCATTAAAGAAATTAAAAGTATAGTTCATTATATGCAACAACATTTAACTTTTTAATGTCACAAGAGTTCTAGAGTCTCATGAAAAATGCGTTTATCTAGAATTTAAAAAAACATCCAAAGTGGCGCTTTCAATTTCTTCCAAGAATTAGTCCAATAATACTCAAGTTAGAAGTGTGTATCTTTAATGGTTATGGTTATCTTGAACAACAATCGACATTTTTTGAGTCTACCAAATTAAGTTTTATCATTTACTTAATATTTATTTTTCGCGATCTAATTCCTCAGTTCCGATACCGTGTCCTACTCTAATTCGATTTGAAAATTCATTGGGTAATATCGGATCGACCATTTGAATGTTTAATTAAATGAAATTGTTAGTCTGAATTCTGAACATTCAAAGCATACACCTTCATTTCAAAGCTCTCTGGTTAGTGCTTACGGTCCAATAAAATAGCTCTTACATATTATTACATTTACTTGCTGTAATATTAAAAATTAGAACTAATATCATCGATGACATATTAAAAACAAAAACAATAAAATTTCGTAGCTGCGGGTAAATGAATTATTATCATGCAGCGTCATAACTGTGTGTAGTCCTGCACACGATAAATGGTAATGACTTGCCTGGAATATCATAAACGGAAGGCCCTTTACCCTCAATAAGCCGAGCAGAAAACCAATAAAAAGAAGTTCTACAGAGGTTTTCCAGTACAGGGAAGTATTAATATTTTACTTTTTAGAAATGTTAAATTCATTTGCGGTATGCCATTAGTGTGTGTAATGCAGTCATTATTTCATCTGTTTAGACCGTGCGTTGAAGGAAAATAACGAACCAAAAAGAAAATATCATTTGAATGCTTCAAGAGATTCATCTTTCGAGTACATGAAGGTAAAATTTATATAATCCTTATATTTTCATTTTTATTATCGGATAATAGCACATATTGTTAATACGTATTTAAATTTTAAAAAACCCTTTTTAACAGATGAATCTTTACCAATACAAATCAAAAAATAGCTAATTATTTATATTTTCCTTAATTTCTTGATAATTAAAAAGAAATAAAAGAAAGAAAGAAATTAAAAGAAAATAGTTGATTTACTGGCAGTCGTGAGACCTTGCCAGAATTTCTGCACAAAATCGGATTAAGATTTAAAAATATTTATTTAGACAAGAATCCTTAAATGGCCGAATAGCTCGTCGTTAAGCTAAAGATACAATTAGTCTTACTTCAACATCTTTTCCTGAAACGTCCATCTCCGTCATGTAGAGATACGGGACCCCTGTTGCGTTGTTTAGAGGACCATCACTTAAAGATTTCAACGTGACAAACGGAAATCCAGTTATTTTACTCTGAGTCGAAGTGGTTGCTAATGAAACCCATTCTGAAAATAAGAAGCGACTTTTTACAGAAAATTATGAAGTAACCTCATTGATGTTCAACTCAGAAACATGTCATTCTGCTTACCAGAATAATGCATTATGTATCGCGCCATCAGTGCAGTTTTCTCATGGGGCGGCACCGGTGGAAGAACTTTGGCTTCTGAATGGAAGTAAAATATTATGTACAACAAAAGGAACCACATCCTCTGAAACTAATGAAATACGAATATATTACATCCCTAGTATACATGGTGTTTAGATGTTTAAAATAAACACAAATGTGCGAAAAATTTATTTTTTATCTTAAAAACGAAAATAGATAGAACAAAATATTAGGAAAGTACTGGCATAAAAACACACCTTCTGCAAATTTTTATATTTTTTTAAAAATGAGATGATTGAATTAGACTACCCTTATCATTCTTCTAATATAATTTTAAGAAAAAATTTAAACAATGCCAAAAAACATATAATATATATTTTGGACCATTTATGTAGTTCAGTTTTTTCATAATACTTATCGGCTTTTCTATTAGACAAAAAAGTAGTGGGTTGCTGTCACTTCCTAAGGCCTTTCTTATTATTACATTATTCGATATTACTCAGTTAGTTTGAATACAAAATACGAGTGACGCAAAAGGAATCCAGGAGTTTTGTAAATAGTAATTGAGTAGCCTTTGGAAGTCTTTCTGAAAAACTAACCAGCTTGTTTACCAGGCTTCATCAAAGGCTATATGAATCCGGAAGTTTCCAAAAAAAGGGGTTTCGGGGTACCGATAAATCATCAGAGTTCCGGTATTAGAAGTTGTAGTGCTAAATATTATTCCGAGGCCAGTATCAGAAAATTTACAGCACAATTAAATACTAATGAATCAACTTATGTAAGATATTAAAACAACAGTTCTATCCATACCTCTCACAAAGGCTTGAAGCTCTTTTACCAAAATTTTTTAAAGTAAATTTCATTTATCTATTTTAATTTAAATTTCTATAAATTCAGTTAAGAGGAATGATAGAAGATAATTCAAACACCTTCACTCCTTTTAAACAAATAAAAAGGTATGCGTTATGTGTGTTTTCATAATAGTACTGCTTTGGTATTATTATTATTATTATTATTATTATTATTATTGTCCTATTTCAGTTTAAAAAAAATAAAAAAAGTCAAGCAAACGTGCAAATATGGTGCTCCAATGTGATTCCACCGAGGGATAAACTCCAGAGCTAAGGGTGTACACCGTAATTCCTCTTTTACGTATAATTCCTCGTAATTCCAAGGACTTCCATGGAATTTCACTGGAATTCTTCGGAATTCTTTTAGAATTCTTTTTTTTTATGAATTAGTGTCGTTACAAAATAGGGTATAAATAATGAAATTCATATATAACTGCACAGGATAGTCCTTAATGAATGCAATCCAAAACAGTATTTTCACAAAGGGCGACATTTTACTAGGGCATATTTTTATTATTTGTCATCTATCATTATGTCTATGGCATATTAAATACTTGAAATTATTGGTCCGGGAGCCTTGAACCTTTTTTCAAAATGATTAGTGACCCGCTAATTCTTTGGGAGTAGCTTCATTTTATTAAGACTCCCAGCATTTTCCTCCACGAAAATTGCTATATCATGTAGCTAACAAAGTGTCGGTATCAAATCATGTGAATTTAGTGACCATTCAAAAATTATCAGCGACGGTTTAGTTTTTACCTAAATCTTGAGATAATTAAGTATATAATTTGAAATTACATTTGTCATACAAAAACATTGGTTGTATCAATTATTTATTTGTAACAAGTGATGAGCAAGAACTTCATTTTTTTTGCTGTAGTTTGCTAATATTTTTTATAAATATATTGTTACATTAGACTACAAATAAAGTGGCGGTTTTTTTCAATCCTACACATAATATATTACTAATCAATAAACTTTAAGTGTAGGATTGAAAAACGTACCACTTTATTCATAGGACATTGTGATTATTTATTTATAAACATTATCAGCAAGCTACATTAAAAAAAAATTGATACAACTTTGAGAGGTTGGACACCCCATATCAAGCCTATGTTATGTGTGAATTGTTTTTTCAGTTGTTTTTATATGATTGGTCTGGACTTACTTAATACGACTAGATGTTTTGGTCAGTTAATTTGGACATGCCATGAAATTATTTAAGCAAATTTTAGCAAATATCAGATGTTCATACAACAAAAATTAATTGGTCGTCTTGATTAAACCTACCTAAACACACCACATTAAAGCAATCACCTACAGCAAAAATTGGAACGGTCGTTAATAAAATTGCAATCGATCTCGCGACCTACGACAAAGTAGGAAACGCTCGATTAGCTCATGACATTGTTTAATGAAGCTGACGTTTTAAAGTGAGACCTTGCATATGCGTGATCGGTGCAAAATGGGATATGTACTACTGAGTAAAAAAACAATCACACAAGAATCACGACAAGTTGTACGAAAAAAAAATGAAATAGACAAAACTTAATCCCCACTAGTGACAAAAATATCTCGAAACATATAATGCATTTTGATGCTTAATTTTACTGCGGCTTACCCTTCGCATTCGATTTAATAATAGCTGCCTCCGCTGTGCTATATTAGGAATACGAAGCTCCATACAATATTAAAAATTATGTGTATTACTTGGATCACATTCCCAAAAAGAATTTAAATCACTATCTACTAAAGGTTGTGTACTTTCGCAATCCTTGTTATGGCTTGTTATCATAAGAAAATCACCCTTGTTGCTTTCGAAAAATTGTATTTCATCGATCGAAACTAACCAGCCGACGCGGAAGATCCAGTACTATAACTTTTATTTCAAGCATTTTTTTGATTATATGCAAGGTTTTTTAGTTATGGACAAAAATCTAAAAGACCCTGAAAATTGTCCGTTTCCGGAGTAATTTATAAGCGGTAAATCAAAATTCTTAAAAAATATTGCTAATTATCTGTTCAAGATATTTGGAAAAAACCAAATGAAAATCACCATTTCTCGCCCTCAATTTAGCCGCGATGACGTCACTTGCTCTTACGACGACTGCATGATTTCAGAAAACAACTCTTTTCCCGAAAAGCATTTAATCTATTGTAAAAATTCATAACGAGGAAACGTGAGAGATCCAGGGATATAACCTCCATTTCGAACATCTAAAATATCCTAAAAATTTCCGTTTTTGTGGGTAAATTATTGGCGATAAATAAATAACAGTCTTATGTCTTTAAAGGATGTGGAAATTTTCTAGTGACTCCTCAGGAGATTTTATTTAATTTGGTAGGACACATTCACAGACTTATCCAGATGCTTGGAAAGTATCAAAAATTTGCCCAAGTGCGGACCATGGGGATTTCAAAGAATATGCTTTACTTGGCTTGATCTGTACATCCGGCAAACTTTTTGAAATAATATTACGTGATATTTAAGCACTGTGTGTTGTTAAAGAGCAGATAGTATTTAAAGCAAAACAATCTACGGTCACAAGTGTAACTTGTTTTACTCAATATGCCCATTTAGCTTTAGACAACAATACTCAAGTAGATTTTCCGTTTTTGCTAAAGATGTGGTCATGGCGTGGCGTATCTGAATTTTCCAAAACGATATGTAGTTTACGCTTCGGAACAGTTTGGAGTTCCACAGGAGTCGAACCACGGAACTCTAGTTTTTGATATTCTCTTTAATGAGGCATTTTTCGCTTGGTTTACTTTATACTAACGATTTTAAATGTTACAGCAAAACAGAATCTCGGGAAGATTATGAATTGTTGCAAGATATTAACGAAATAATAAAACGGATAGAAACCAATCATCTAGCTTTTAATTTAATAGACATACAAAACAGATAATTTCAAAAGCGTATCGAATGGTTTGTGATTCGAAACTTTCATGGATTCCAGAACCTAGAGACAAGTCTTGTGTCATAAGTATTCTTCAATTATATATAATTGTATAATTCTTACTTATAAATTTTGTATCAAAGCACTTGAAACAAGACGTAAAAATTAATGTTGTACAAAATGTATACTATTTTACATGAAATAATCTTACTTTTGAACTCCCAAAAGTAAATTCTAATTTAGGTCAAAAGAGTCGGGTATATAAAGTGTCTAATTTAATTAATGTAGAAATAGCTTTTATCTGTCAATTTAATTTTCAAAGTTTACGCACAAAAATTTCGAAAAAACCGTAATTTCCTTCTTTTTTGTTTTGATTACATTTGGCGCTGAGAACTAACCTATAACTAATTTAAAACCGTGTGGTTAGGCACGTTTTCATACTATTATTTTGCGCAAGCCTGTTGATTACTTTCTTATAAAAAATAAAAATAGATATTAAACCAAATATTGCGTAAAATGTTCAATAAATAAAAGATAATAGGTTTTCGTTTTTGACGAATTCGTCAACTTGCCTCTAATGTGTGTAGTATTTGTATACTGTAATATTTCAAATGGTTTGCTCTTTTCAGAAGAAACTACATTAAAAACTTAATTATACATGTCAGCAATAGGATATTCCAGAGGCAACTAACAAGAGTTCTTAACAAACAAAATAATTTGAAAGATCTTTCAACTTCTGGTGGCTGATTTAAAACAACTTTTAGTAATGAACAAGAACGCGAATTAGACTATTTAAAAAAAATCAATATGAATAATATTAAGTATCAGTCCAACACTGATCCAAAAGTAGTCGGTAAAGAATGGTTAATTTGCTTGTCTGGAACATAAACAAACTTCGGGAATAGCTTTTATCACCAGTTGTAGCGAATATATTTATGGAAGCTTTGGATAAGAAAGCCCTCGACACCTTCTGTCTAGATAATGCCAAAGTATGGAAACGCTACGATTATGATACTTTTTTATTTGGCCTCATGGTCAAAATTCCCGCCCAGATTTTCTTAGCCATTTAAATTCCAGACATCCTAACATGCGTTTTACCATTGAATTAGAAATTAATAAATATCTCTCATTCCTAGATGTTCTTATTGTTAGACCTAACATTGACAGATATCTTAATGCATTATCACATCACCATCCGACCCAAAATCATCGATTAATTACTGTCTTGTTTACAGAACCGTAAATCTATATCAACCTGAGTCATTGATTCCAGAATCAAAACACCCTAAATCTGCTTTTCCCTCTAATAATTTCCACATTAGAGATATTAAGCTTTCCATCACAAAATACACTTCACCACAACCTTCCACGGAAAATGAGCCTGAAAGCAACCCCACACTTGCCAGTGTCGTCGACAACGACAAATTTAAATTAAAAATAATACATCACAATTTGAATATCCACCAAATAAACAAATGAAAATTCTTCCTAGAACCATTAAGTTGTGCGGGATTACAATCATAAATTTACCCTGTTACATATTGCAGAAAGTGACGTTAATTAATGTTTAAAGAAATTTCTTCATAAATTATATAAAATTCAAAGTCTAAGGTACATAATATACAAATTTTAGAAACAAATATTACTTTAAATTTAATATTTAAAACAAGCAAATCTTACATGTAACTCTTAGTCTTTTTATTTTCCACATTCTCGCCCATTTTATTGTTATTTATTCTTGTATTTATATTTTGTTTCTCATTTTGCTTTACTCTTTAAGCATTTATATTCATTAAGTTGTTTATTGCTTACAAATAGAATAAACTTTTTGAGATGTTTTTTAAAAGCACTTAATGATGCTAAAAATATGAATCACTGCCTTAAATCCTCAAAAAAATGTGCAAGGCCTACTTGTGTTTTACACTTATTTGTTGTCACATTTTCCTTTTCTCTATTTCTTGTATTGTAAGAATGAGTTATATGTTGTAATTCGGTTTTGTTTTTGAAAATATTTAAACCCGTTGTTTTAAAAAATTAAACATTTGTACAGAAGAGTAATTTCTGGTTTTTTGGAAAACTATTTTTGCATAAATATCCAGTACTTCTCCCTATCCCAAAATATCATATTGTAAACGTGACTGCACTGATGCATAATAAAGTGGTGTTTTTTGTTTACACTTTATTGTAAATGGTTGATTGAGTGTCCATTGTTATTCCTAAATATCTTCTGAAGTGACTTTAAATAATGATGTTATTCAACGAGCAGCTTTGACTACAGGAGCTAAACTATTCCACTTGTATTGTACATTTTGTGATCGTCAGATACAATGAAGAAGTAATTTGTTGTCTAAATGGTACGGTAAATCCACGAAATTGTAAGTAAAGGAATGTTTGGACAGTGAGTTTGACAAATTTATTGGGCCTAATTTTTTCGATCCAAATTTTATTGGAGCCCGATATTTACAGTTTCTTTAAAATGACTTAATTCTAACGCTCGAAGTTTCTTATTCAAATCTTAATCAGCCTGATATGCCAGATAGATAGATTTGCTTTCAACAGGATAGTGCTCCGACTCATTTTGCTCCATATTTGCGTGAATATTTAAACACGTTACCCTGCAGAAAGAAAAAAATGTAATGGAAAGCAAAGAAATAAGGTGATTGAGAAAGGAATCTAGCTGTCTATCGGCTCCATTCCAGATGATGAAGGTATCATCAACATATGAAAAGCAGACCCTAGGTGCCGCGCCTATAGCGTAAGTTTCAAGTCAAGGTGAATGCTGTAGGCTGCACTTCATAACAGATAGTGATACACCTGCTCGAAACGTTATGTAAAGCAAAAATAAAGGCAATGGAAGTTTGATCTTAGTATTTTGATTGTCTACCGCGTTCAAGAAAAAATAATCTCAAGGTAAGAGACAGATATACTACTTGCATTACGGGTGTTTCGTTTAATAAAAGAACTTGGTATCTACTTTATCGGTTTGACCCAGTCTTTTTATTTACTGCAAAAAAGACGCATGAAAAAATTATCATGGAGGTGAGTGACCATTTTTCTTGATATCCAATACCGGATTTTAAAATGAATTTGTTTCATATTTTAGCTGTTTATTATATACAAAAACATATACACTCAAACGGTTCCCAAATTGTTAAAAAACGAAAAAATGTGTGAAAATAAATAACGAATAATTGTTCTTTTTTAACTTACTGATTAAAATGTGGAGTCAACTCAACCCATTCAAAACACAGCAACCATATGTGCGCGTCTCAGAGGTTTGCTACTTTTTATAACTATACGATCGCTTTAGGTAAATCTAGCCTTCCTTGCACTATATATGGTACGATAAAAAATACAGTGTATCACGCCTGGATTGATTTCTTTGTTTTAAATTAATTATACTGTCTTACTAATAATAACAGATTTTTTTGTTATTGTGGTAAATACCAATTGATAAATAATTGACTCAACAATTTCTGCATGAATATTTTTTTGTATAACTCGGTATAATATATATATAACAATAAATTCTAGGAATATAAATATTATTTTTGCAAAAAAATGCAAATTTAACGTTTTGAACAATCACTGAAAATCTGACGAATTTTTGTTTAATGAACCTTTTGTGCAATTTATAAAAACTTACCGATAAACACATTTTTTCGATACCACAAAATGATGATGACATCCACACTGCCAAAAATTCATATATTGTTTGGAACGTTGTTTTTAAATGCTCAGAGTGTTGTCAAAGGTCAAATGTATTTTCCATTTTACAATATAGATCGGTCGATTCGGAATAAATATGTAGTTGTAGAATGAGATAGACCGCTCTACATATACCTGGTTCATTCACCCATTCGCATTAGTTACATCAGAATAATTTGAACCAGCGCTATCGTCCAAATATGTAATTACTGGGTATATGATTAACATACTCTCTGTCAATGTTCTCTGGTATTAATTCACGGTGAGTCTTAATTTTCTTGTTTATATTATTGCGTCTAATTTGGATTTTTGTTGGGACCATATCATTTCTATGGAATTCAAATTGCCACAATAAGGGATTTTTTATGTCCTAGTCTACGAACTAAGGTTTGTCAAACTAACCAAATCGTAATTTGGTTCTTAAAACTTCAAGTACTTGTTTTTTTGTTTAATTATCTTCGAAAGGAAGGTCATGCTGATTAAGGAACCCTTGCAGTACCTCTTTTTTGCTGCTGATCGTTGGTACATTTTTAGCTAAATTTATAATTGATGGTGGTCTAATAAGCAGCCTTTAATGTATTTTTAACTGAAAGTAGAAAAGCGTTTGACACTCAATCTTCCCTCAAGCCACAATGTAAAATGGATATGTGGGATCAGCCTCTACTTGTGTGAATACATTATACAGAATTTTCATTTTGAGTATACTATCCTAATAATCTTATTAAGTCTTGGTTTGTCTAAGACAATTTTAAGTTACCTAAGTTGTTATGAATCAGATAAGTATCGGGTAAGTAAAACTAACTAACAAATGCATTGTAACCTGCATATTTTTATACAAAACCGTTAATAGTGTGATTCAATTGAGTTATATTTTTTAGTTCTTTTTTCATTTTAATTACGGTAAGGTAATTTGCTTCAACTATTGGTTTAGTAAAGGCACGTTGCTCCTTCAAAATAATTTGGGTTTTAAATGCGAATTAATCTAGTAAAATATATTTGTATTAATAGTTCCAGGTTTCACATAATTAACTGTAAATTTTTCATACATGGATTAACCAAGCCTTTAAAGTGCTTACAGACTAAAGCACCCAAAGATAGTTTGTATTCAGAAATGTTATGAATTTTACTTATTTGACATATTTGTGCTATATTTTAAACATTGATAGTATATTATGCAACAAGTGTGGTAATAGTATATTATGTAACAAGTGCGATAAACGGCATTTAACTCGCGAGTTTATTTCATAATAAACGAGTGAGTTCAAAAGTTTACCGAACGTGTTGCATACTATACTTTTTCTACGACCTTTAGTTTTTAGAAACATTTTTGCAAAACAACACCAATACATTCACAGATATGACCGTCATAATTAACAAACGTCACAATTCAAGGCGTGGGAAATATCTCCGAAAACATCCGATTGCCCCCAAACCCGTGCGGTAAAAATCCGGAATTGTCCGAAGTGGCTCATATCCGTTAAAAACGAAACTGAAGTGGTAAAGTCGCGCTTCCCGCACGTTAGATCGGTGTGTAATTAGGTATTTTGCAGACGGGAGTAGAAAAACGGCATTTACCAAACTGTTGAATACTATACTTTTTCTATGCCCGTTAATTTAGCAAAACAACACAAATATGTTCACTGACATGACCGTCACAATTGACAAACGTCAACATTCAAGCCGCGCGGTAAAATCTCCGATTGCTCCCAAACTGGTGCGGTAACATCCTGGAAATGTCCGAAGTGGTTTGGATTCGTACGAAACGAAACTGACGCCGTAAAATAACATTTTCCGCCCTCCAGATCGGTATATAATTGGATACTTTACAGAAGAGAGTAGAAAAATAATATTAAACTGAAACTTTTTTTATCCTATTTAACCGTTATTTGATATTATAACGCCATGCAACCAGATATGTAGTTTCCTTAATGTGATGACTCACGCTTAGCGTTTCACGGCCTTCTGATGTAGGAGGTAAAGTCTGTTCAAAGATATAAGAAAGTGACTAACGGATACGAATTAAGGAAAGACCCGGGCAAGCTGTAAGAATGAAATATGGCCGAACAGGTCCGTATTTTGCTTAGAATTTAATTATTTGGGGTTTTGTTAGGAACAATATTTATTTATTTATTTATTAATTCTAAAATTCTAAGAGATTCCATTAAAACTTGCCTTTTGTCAATTTTTGTAAATCTAAAACCCATGTGTTGAATACACTTCCATAAGGTAGTTCTGCCACATTTAACACCGGTTTCATCTTTTTCAAGCCGCCTAATTAAGATATCTAATGTAGACACGCTTTGTTCCTCGTATAACTGGTAAATTTTACGCCATATTATATCTTGATCACTTTCATCTACACTCGACACAATGTCAGCATCGCTTCTTTTTTTCCTCACTGAAATGGGGTGATTCACAATTTTCCATACAGTTGATGTTGGAATTTTCGTCAATGTAGCCGTTTCTTCTAAAGATGCTTGTTTGCTAGCACCACGTTCAATGAGACTCAAATAAACATTGTTTATAACTTCCTTAGTCTCAATAGAATAGTGTTTTCTACATTTGGGCAGGAGCATCTCCTGAGATACACTAGACTCGCACATATTTGGCATAATTCGCACACGATTCAACACACGCTGTAATACACACGAAATACGAATGATTACTAATAAACTTAAACTAAGTAGTATACCAAACCAAAGAATATTAAACACAGGTAGGTATATATTTTTCTATTACGGACCACAATTTTACCTGAATTTAAATTCCGAAACTTTAGGTAATAATCTTGTTGCATTGTATTTTAATGACCACCCTTGGATAATCCCATTCAAAAGCAATTGGTCACTTTCTTATATTTATGAACAGACCATATTGTCAAACTTGAGGTTGTTCCGCTAGGACACCAACATCGGTGCATTTAAGCCAGATTGTACGTGCTTGGATTGCTAAAGATATTTCAGTTGTTTTTAATGAATACGGCTTCTTTAAACTTGCGCTTTTTTCAATGCGATTCCTTGTGGACAACCCGAGCTTCTGATTATTTGATGTAGTGTTGTTTTGTCCATACGTGTTCTACGTGATCCTTGGATATCATTGTGTGTTTCCCATGTAAGAATATTTCTTTTTAGTCGATGTTTCTAGTTTTCTTGTAAATATGCTCCTCAGACTCGTCACCGACTTGAATAGTTTTAACTTTATATTGTTTCGTAAACGGACTGATCTTTTCTGAGATTCCCTTCACATATGAGATCGGTAAGACAGGGGAGACAGTATCTACCTCATATTGATCTGCTATTCCATTCGGTTTCCAATTTGATATTTTGTCAATATATTTTTGAGCGCAGCCATTATGAAGCAAATCCATTCTAATACTGCTTAATTCTACATAAAGTGCGCTTCGTCACTGCATATTATGATTGCCGATTGCTTCAGAATGGTTAGACTCAAAATTTAAATGCTGTCCGGTATGTATAGGTCTCCTTTATGTGGAGGTCCAGATAGAGCCATTATTTCTACTTACTAGGACATGTAGAAAGGATAGGCACTGATTCTTCCCTTTCACAAAGGCAAATTTAACATATCCAAGCCAGACCCTAAGTTTACCAATTATACCACAGGAGAGACAAGGGGGCCCATCGGTTGGCCATTATCGTGTGCGTAACATTTATCTTTGATTTGAAAATAGAAGTTAGGCAGACAGCGCCTAAGGAGCTCAATCAGCGGTATCGAAGTTTCATCTGGAAGTGTGTCAAACCTAAAAAATTTGTCTGATGGACTTAGCTTTACATCTTTTAAAATTTCTACCCAATGCCCGCAATTCTTTACGAACGAGGGAGTTTTTCCTACGAGTGGCTCGACGATTTGAAAGAGAAATCTATTTAAGCCGCTGGTTGTGAAATGGCTCAAACTGGTGATAGGTCTGAGCGTGGATTGTGAATTTTTGGAAGTTCTAATATTACCCGAAATATAGCAGTACTCTATAGATTCTTCCTTCAATTGTCCTAGTAGCAACCAACCTAGAAATTAGAAATCATCCAAATACTTTGCAAAAACACAGTCATAATATGCAGTAACGAAGCATCACTCGATATAGGATTAAACAGTATTAAAAAGGGTTTGCTTCATAATAGTTCCACTCAAAAATGCATTGGCAAATTGTAAACGATTCTCAGAAAGGAGCGTACTTACAAAAACAAAGCCAGAAACATCGACTCAGGAGAATAACGATAATAATCTACCATATACCCTGTGAATGTGGAGAATTATATATTGGAGAAACAAAAAAATCTTTAGACATTATAGTTGAAGAACATAGGAAGCACCCAATGTGGGGTTAAATCCAAAGGGTAGGAACCGCAATGGAAAAAACGTGAGTTTAAGGAAGCTGTATTCATTAAAAACAATAGAAATATCTTTAGGAATCCAAGCGTGGAAATGCCTAAAAACTGGCAACCCTTAATGCACTAATGTTGGCCTACTAACGGAGCAACCTCACAGTTGACTGCGCCCGACTCCCTCACAAGTCCACTATATTAAGCATCGACAATCTCTTAGTACTCCTATTCTCAAATTTACTTGCA